ACCCTCAGCCATGAAGGTCTCTGCCATGCATCTGTGTTGGCTGCTTACAGCAGCTGCCTTTGGCAACCGGGTGCTGGCTCGGTCAGGTAAAGCCCATCTTTCTTCTTCTTTTTCCTTGTTTCCTGCTCCTTCTAGGAGTCCTTAAGCTAAGGGACTCCCTCCCTTCTAAGCCACCAGAGTGGCAAACGCAGAGTTGCACTTTAACATCTAATTTTAAAGTCAGAAAGAAGGTTTCTGCAAGTCAGCAAGAGAACAATCTACCCCTCTCTCCACACACCTTTCTCCTCTCCTGGGGCTGCCCTTCACCTGCCACATGTGGCCCAAGCTGCCCTCAGAGGGTTCCATCTAGCTGTATGGCTGTCCTCCATCCACAGCTTCAGAACCTTATGGAACAAGGAGATCTATGCTGACCCCAAGCAGAAGTGGGTCCAGCAGGCTATGAGACACCTGGACCAGAACCTCACTCCCTGAGGACATGCACTCTTCCACTCACACACAGCCCCACCTAGAGTGTGAGAAATGACCATTCAGTTCTCCCTCCACTGCCTTTCTGTCTATACTCATTTGGCTCTAATTTTCTAACAGAATACTTTCTGCTTTGTGAAGCAAAAATATATTGGATGTTCATTCATATTTACTATTATTTGACGTGCTCTTGGTTTGGACTTTATTTTGAATGCTGACAATCTTTATTGTTTTTCTGCAGTGCTGGGGATTGAACCCAGGGTCTTGGGCATGTTAGGCAAGTGTTCTACCACTGAGCTATAATCCCCAGCTCAATGATCTTCTTTTTAAAAACTAAGGCCTTGAGCAAGTTGGTTCCTGACTATGAACCCCAGGCCCTTCCCTGGTAACCTATCTTCTGTCTGGTTTGTGGAGGTGAAGTGTGCCTGAGGAACGATGGATCCTGAAATTTAGGGGGTTGAGTATATTGCAAATGTGAGATTTGTTAAATGTGCTATTATGAAAAGACTGTGCAATAGGAGGACCTCTGAATTTTTGCAGAAGACACATTTTATTGAAAATCTCTAACAATGATGTTTTCTCTAGGGGTAACTCCAAACCAATAGGGGGTGCTCCAAGGTGGGGGTGGATGGCAGAATATGCCAGGGGAATGCTATGTACAGAAGCCTTACTATGTGGTTGGCCTGGGCCAGAACAATGACTCTAGTCTCTAAGATCTGCTTCTCTGGCTCACACTCCATCAACCTCATGTTCAGTTCATGCCTCACTGCCATTCCTTTCCTTCAAAACCTTCCTCTCCTGCCCAACGGCCTCAGCTCTACTGCAAACATCTAGCTGGTCTCCTTGGACCTCCCTATGCAGTCACCTTCCCTGGAGTAATGCAGTCTACATATGTACCTGACCCTCAGAGAGAAACCAGATGTTCATATCCTGGTTAGCACTGTGCCTGACAGAGGAGATGGGACTTGGGCAGAACCAACCTTGGAGGATAGGGTAGCATGGTCATAGCAAAGATTATTCTAGAGGTGGTATAGGATTGGAAAGAGGAGGGAGAGCCTGAAGGGAATATCCCCACAAGGTCAGAGTTTGAGTTCCAAAATGTAAGCATTGGACACGTTTGGAAAAGAAGCATAAGTCTGGACTATCAAGGAATTAGAATATCAGGGATGGGTGCACTAGGCTCAGTTCTGAAGACAGGAGGAAGGTATGAAGGTTTTAGGGCCATCATAGGAACAGTGGGGGGGGGAAGAAGAGCACAGCTAGATGGAGTTCTGTGATTGTGGGTGGGATGGAGTTAGAGGGGAAGGTTGAAAACAGCCTATTGTAAAGGCCCAAGCAAGAGGAAACAGAGGCCAATGCAGGGCAGCCATGGGGTGGAAGAGTGGGCCTGGTGGGTGACATGTTGGGGAAATAGGGAGGAAGCCCAAGACACAGAACAAGAGATCTCTCTGAAGCAACCAAGCTGGCCTGTAAATGAGTGCCAGTCCTAAGACCCAGAATCACTCCCCTCCCTCACTGTTCTCCTCAAATCACACATTACCTAAACGGAAGTGTGTGACTGTCCCTTTTAAGAGACAGTTCCTTCCTCTATGTTCCCTCAGGTTCCTCTGCTTTTCCTGAGACTCACTCTTCCAGATGACATCTCTGTCAAACCTGGCTCCCCACCAAGACTTCCCCAGGGAGAGAAGGGCTCTGTGAACACTGTGTAGGTCTTGCCCCTGGGAGAACACTTTGCAACTTGGGACACCAGAGAAAGTTCAGGCCTGGGAGGCAAGAGCTCCTGGGTTCTAAGATCAGATCTGGCCCCGGCTTGCCATATGTCCTCCTCTAGCCCTCAGTCTCCTCCTCTAAAAAACAGGGTCAGTTACATCCACAGGCTCATGGATCCCCTCCAGCTCGGGCATTGGAAAACATCAGCCCCGAGCCCTCTAGGCAGGTCAGGGAGGGAAGACAGTCCTGCCCTCAAATGTGGACTCAACCCTATCCCCAACTTGCTGCTTCTCTGTGGCTTCCTCCACTGCCAACCCCAGAGGCAGAGAAGCACACCACAGCCTGAGGCAAAGCTTGCTCCAGGCAAAGGCAGCACTGACAAGCTCCGAATCATTTATTGGCTCCTCTTGATAGCAGTCAGGTTCCCTGGAACCAGGTCCAACATATCTCCCTCCACTTCCCCAACCTTCCAGTCCCTGTCCTCTACCTCCAGTGCTCATCAAGTTTGCATCCCCCAGAAATCCCCATGAAGTCTAAGAAACACAGCAGGACTCGAAGATTCTTTAATTTAAATATATAAATCAATATAGCTTATCAAGACTGAGCAGAAGCCAGGAGTGGTAGCACACACCTGTAATCCCAGCATTCAGAAGGTTGAAGCAGAAGGATCATGGTCTACATAGTAAGTTCCTGGCTAGCCTGAGCTATGTAGTGAGACCCTGACTCAAAAACCTACTAAGTAAATCCTCCATGACCCAGAAAAGATGGGTGGACAGAAGGAATAATATATGGTGGGAGGTGGTGGGGGACAAAGGAAGTTGCACGTACTCCAGAACCTAGATAGAAATCATCTTCACTTTGGTAGGCAGGGCTTCATCTTTTTCAAGTAAGCTTGAACCCATGTATCTTCAGTCAAGACACAGCTTTCTCTTCTTCCCTTCAGCTTGAATCTGTGAACAAAGAACATGGAAGAGGGCTGAGTCCCCGAGTCACCACATGGGTACATGTCCCATCCCACTTCAGTGCTGCCAGGTGTGCCTAAGCTTCCTCTTTGGGCCTTGCTTTCCCCCTCTGTAAATGAAGTCTCTGTGTTGGACCTGCGGTTTGCACCCTAGGGGGACGCTGAGAGCATCAGGAGTTTTTTGAGCTCCCCAGCACCTGCTGCGGAGGTTATATTCAGTATATCAGGGTAGAGCATAAGACCTGGCCAGCATTGTAATAATTAGCTAGGAGGAAAATGTCACATCCTACTCCAAGTTTTCATGTTTTTGTGCCCATCTGGACCCTCGCTTATTGCTCTGGGTTTACCTGTGCATGTGTATGTGTGTGTGTTTCTTTTCTCATCTGCCCACTTCCTAACTTAGCTATTGTACAATCCATAGTCCGACTCATCCTTTTGCCATCTGGGTAATCTTAATAATGACAAACAAGAGGAGATGCCTGTCCAAGGTCACCCACAACTACAGGTTGGCAAATGCAGAGGCAGGAACTAATGATAACCTTGCCATTTTGCTACACAATGCCTGGTGTTTCTGTTAAGATTTCCTTCCTGCGGGCATACAATTGGCATCGGGGAGTTCCAAGAACACATCACTGTAGGAGTACAGGTGTGCCTTTCCTAGCACCTGCTAGGAAGCTTAGCGCTCCTCCTATCGCCCAAGGATGGCTCTGCAACCAGGCAGTTTTGCCGTGTGGGTTTAGAAACCTTATTCTGGTGGAACAGCGCCATCTAGTGTACACTACTCTCATTCCCGTCGGTGCGGCCCTTCCCCAGGGGAGGGGTGGGACAGGTGATTACTCACATTGTAGCTTTGTAGGAGCAGTTGGAGCTGGTGTTTCTGTAACACTGGATTTTATTCCAAGGAATCTTTTTAGCCACGAATGAGAAGCAGCAACGAGAGGCGGACACGTGCACTAGAAGAAAAGCACACAGACCAAATTTTGCATCAACTTTCAGCCTTTCACCCACAGAATGACTTAAAAACACAAATACCCACAAAACTCCTCCCAGGACAGACCCAGACTTTCTGACAACATCCAGAGTGCGCCAGCACAGTCGTCTCAGCAGCCACCCAGTTTTGGGGTTAGGAGAAGGATCAGAAGACTGGGGTTCAGTAGACCCAGAAACCAGTCTACTGCTGTGATTCTGAGCCCAAGCCCTGCCCAGACTTTCTATCCATAAAGTAAGACTGTTTAGACCCTGATTTCTAATGGGTCACCTCATTCTGACATTGCACCGCAGGTGTATGGTTCTGTCCTAATATTTGGGTTCAAGGGCTGGACCCAACACCTGGAAAACCAATCAGCCTGATACACACAAGACACTGTGGTCCACAGTTCACAGACCTGGTGCCAGATGAGGAACCACACAAGGAATTCAAAAGCATGGGGACGGAGCTCCCAAGAACTAGTCAGCTCCCCTACTCAATCCCTCCACTTCCCTCTTTCCCTGGGCCTCAGCCCTTTGGGGGCCCCAACCCCCACTCTGCCAGCTTGTGTATAGCGCCCTCGCACCCCCCGCCCTCAACAGCCTTGTATTCCAATTCTAGCAACTTCTTCTTAGCTTTCACCTTCATTCCTAGTCAACATGCTCCCAACAGCGGGCATCATCAGCTCCACTTTACCAATGGAGAAACCACAGTTTTGAGGTAAAGTCACTTGCCCAAGGTTAGCTAACTATTAGAGTCCCTGGTCCTGCCCTCAAACTCTGCCTGTGATTTGTCACACTGTGGAGACAAGAATCAGTCCTTCCTCTGGGCCTTAGGGCTGCCCAGCTTGAGTTAAACACCCTCACAGCCCCTCTCCAGCAGTCTGCAGGATCCAGACTGGACAGAGCCTCCTTAGGTTGAAGCTGGTGGTTCAGCTGTCCATATTTGCCCTCCACTCATGGTTCTTCTACTGGGCCTCAACCCTCAGATCCCGCAAGTCCTCCACTCCTCTTCTTCAGTTAGAGTCAGGGGGTTTAAGGTGAGCTTTGCTCGGACCCCAGGGTACATCCCCAGGGACAAGCAAGGAACTCCAGCCACACTCACTGCTCATGCTGTCCACATCTTGTAGCCACACTGTGGCCAGCAGCAAGCACACAAGGGCCATGGTGACAAGCTTCATCTCAGGTGTCTGGCTCGGTCTTCTGTGGCACAACCTCAATGTGTTTGGTAAAGCTTCGGGTTCTCCCTGTCCCTTCTTGCCGTGCTTTTATATGTAGGCCTCAGAGGGGTTTCCCAAGCCATAAGGAAGAGGTGGGAGTCCCAGAGAGAAGGGGCAGTCAGTACTCATACACAGTGACCATGTGGAACATTCCTTTCCTCATCTCTCCTGGGTAGTATTCATATGCAGAGAACATGTTGGGCCTTGGGTACTTCCCCAAGTGTAGGAGCAGATAAAGATCTTGATAAAGTGTGTGGGAGCTGTCCTGATTGAGTGGGAGGTAGAGAAAGGTGAATGATAGGAAGTGGCCTGTCTGTGGCTTGTATAACCTACATCATTTCATCCAAGTAGCTCCTGCCCCTGGACCATGATGGAGTGGAAGAGTTAGGGACTTGCACTGAGAGACACCTGCATTTGAACCCACTCTGCGAACTAGTGATTGCATAAACTTGTCCAAGTTGCACATGCATGCAGAATGGAAATAGGAATACCTATCTCAAGGGTGGGTGATAAGAATTAATTAAGATCCTCTGTGTCAAGTGCCTGGATCAGACCTGCTCTTGATATTTTTTCAGTCCTCAACACTTCAACAGCTTACTCTGATCTAGGTCCTCTGTTAGCCTCACAAAAGACAGATACCAATGGACACAGGGTCTCACCTAAGCCTTTTTTGCTTCAGCTTATAGACAAACAAGAAAAATCCACCCATTGTAAGGATAGCAGTAGTTGTGTCATGTCAAGGGTACAGAGCAGAGCTCGAGAGTACCTGCTGGCATCTGAGAGCCCTTCCAGAGGATGTTCTTTAAGCAAGGTCTCCTGCAGGCTGCTGTGGACATGCTAAGTAGAGGAAGAGGCTTTTGTAAAGACAACAAGGCACAAAGGAGCACACTTCATTCAGAGTCAGAGGCACAGCAGGAGTGGGACATGTGAAAACATGGAAGTGGCAGGAGAGAGATGAGGCTGAGTAGCTTCAGAGGAGTCCAGGGAGGAAGACATTGTATGCTAGTGCTCAAGAAAAAGTAGTTGAAGCCGGGTGCCAGTGGCTCATGCCTGTAATCCCAGCTACTCAGGAGGCAGCCATCAGGAGGATTGCCGTTCAAGGCTAGCCCCGGCAAAGAGATCGTGAGACCCTATCTCGAAAATACCCATCACAAAAATGGCTGGTGGAGTGGCTCAAGATGAAGGCCCTGAGTTCAAGCCCCAGTACTGCAAAAAACAAACAAACAAACAAACAAAAAAAACAGCTGAGCCAGATCTATGCACTAACATTCTGAGGCCCATGTGCATTATATGGTTAGAGGGTTGGCTGGGCTGATCTACTCTGATCGTGAACTCTACGTTTAAAACCTGCAGTGGGTCCCATTGCCAATTGAATGACATACAAGCAGCTAGCTCCCTGGACATTTTGGCTCTTCCTACTACATCTCAGTGGATTCCTGAGCAGTCAAGTCTTTCCAATTACTCCTTCCACAGGCATTCTTATCTCCAGGATTTTGCTCCTGCTATAACCTCCACCTGCAGAGCCCTCCTCCCTATCTCCCTCTACCCATGTCAAATTCCCTCTTTGAAATAAGTTCCATCTGCTATTCCCAGCAGGCAGGATCCCTGCCTCCTTGAAGCCCCCTGTACCTGGATGACCATGTGTTATCCTCTGTTTGGGCTCCCCTCCACATTCCTCTGGCATATCAGAGTAGAAGGTCCTACAAAGACCATCTGCAATGATGGCTCTTCACATTTCCGGAGAAAGCTTTTGCAGAAGTGTGAAAGTCTTGGCCTCATTTTAGAGTCGGAATCAAAACACAGGTGCCTGTACATGTTAGAGGAAGAAAATGCCAGGTGGATTTCTCAGGCACTGGAGAATAATAATCTTCATAGTGTGATGGGAAAATGAGTTTCAGAGAAAAGTCACTGACCCAGGGCCATATTAAGAATGGGTGGCAGAGATGGGATGGAGGGACTTGAGCCCTGGTTGGCCTCCAAGGGCAGCCTCTGAAAATACTTCCAGATGACAACTGGACAAGGTACTAGTCAATCCCCCAACTGCTTCCTGTCACTCAAAAAATAGGCCAAGTAGTTGCACTCATTAACCCACTGTTGTCTCTGTCCTATTCCCTTTGTCCCTGGAGATTGGTGGTTTTCTATTCCCTGACATCTTGGGACAGAGAGGACATACAGTATGTATCAATTGGCCAAATGTAACTGTAGGTCCTTTAGACTTGAGAGGGGACGATGTGGCCACCCAGGAAATTCCTTGCCCTTCCTCTCCTCCCCCTCACTGTGGCCACAGCCAGCCCTGCATGGAAAAGAGAGACCAGCAAGACTTAGTCATGTCTTCCCTTCTTAGATTCCTTCAGCATCTGTTAGGAAGTGGCTGCAGGCTCTTATCACACAGCATCTTAATGTTGCACACAGGTCACCCCACACACAAACTCCCATGTGGCTGTCAGGGCACAAAGGCCAAGGCCAAGCAATAACTCAGTAAGATAATTGTGGAATTGAATGAGCTGGTACCGATGGCTGAGGATGGATTCTGTATAGGAAATGCTGTCAGGTTAAACATTATTATTCACATGAGCAAACTGTTTCTTGGTTAGGTATTTGAAAACCAGAAAGTACCTATAGATAGGTTTTCTTACTAGTCTTCTTTTAGGAGCTAGGTACCAATTTACAGAAAATAGATAGAGATCAGATCAAGTTCATCCAGCATGGATTCATCTTAAGATCATCCCCTCTAGTGAGGCCCAGCCCTCTTGACTCCCCCTGCTGCAGCTTGGCCTTGTCAGCTTGCTTTTCAGTTACAGGTCAGCTGGTCCTTACAGACCAGGGCACAAAAATCCCTGAGAAAGAAGGCACATACCCAGTATCACAGGACCATAGAAATACTGTCTTGCTTTGTCTGTCTCATTCTCTCCCTTAGGGAGGAAGCATGCTAACAAGGAAGACCATGATCTCTGGAGTCAGACATATCTGGTCAGATCTCAGCTCTACCCCTTGATCTTGAGCAGGTAACTTAGACTTTCTGAGATATGTTCCCTCTTGGAAGTTCTGCTGCTAACTAGACATGGTAAAACTCTCCCCTGATTTTAAACTCCCAACCGTTAGTCTAATTTGGGGTTATTTGAGTGATCTCAAATAGTGGATGAGAGAGGAAAAGAAAAGGAAGTTGGGTCATAGAACAACCTCTAATACTTACAGGTACTGGGGATGCCAAGGGGAACAAGGCTGCTTCAGACACTGCACTCATGTGGTTCATAGCTCACCAAGGAGTCAGGTTTGGGGTTTGGGAGATGTGGAGAGCAATCCCAACCAGACACAGTGCCCTGGGGGCTGCAGAGGACACAGAAGTTCCTACCCCTAAAACTAGATCTCTTGGTCCCCTGAATCCTGGACCTCCACAAATGAATCCAGGCAGCACCTCCCAGTCTCTTTCCCTTCTAATGTGGTGCTGCCAACACCCAGGCCAGGCTTTGTGTTGTTGCCAGCATCAGCATATCATTCTCTCTGCTCCTTGTATCTCCCCCTGCAAGCCAAAGTCCCGTCCACAGCAAGGATGGCCTGCACCACATGCCTCAGAATCCAAAGCCTGTCTACCGCATTTCCTTATCTCCTCTTTCTCCCAGCACTTTCATTCTTTTCTGGAGGCTTTTCCTGTCTACTGCTTAGTCACAGTGTGAAGAGGGATCACACATCTTTCACAGCAACAGATAGACCACAGGGTGCCCAAGGATGTCACAGCAGTGACAACCAGTAGCTTTTCAATGTGCTACCAAGCCTGACAAACTTGGCCCCTGTGCTCAGTATGAAATGCAAATGTCTTGGCTCAGCTCATAAAGTCCTGCACAGAGCAGCCAGCAGCGCTTGGGTCACATAGCCTGCTCGCTTCTCTCTTCTGCATGTATCCTGGGCCTCCACTGCCCCTTCAGCCTGGAACCTGATTCTGACTGATGTGGTTGACTCCCTGCAGGCTATGCCATCTTGAACTCCCTCAATGAGCCAGTCCCCTTGCCATAGGTGCCTCATACTATTGTCATTTCCTGGTGCTCCACACTCTTCCCTGTCCCTGTCCAGGAGTTCCCAGAGGGCAGGAATCCCTCTGTTGTGGTCAGCATTTCATGCCTTAGTGCCCAGTGCATGTGGGTATACAGTGATTATGCTCGAGAAGGGAGAAGAAGAGTTTTTGATCTCACTTCCAATGGTTCCACTCATGCCATTTCCAGGGTACTGATGTAAGCCAATCTCCCCACTTTTCAGATGAAGAAATTGAGGTCAGTCCACAGAGAGGAAGTGGATAGTCCAAGGTCTAGAGAAAATCAGCAGCAGAACCAGAGATCCCAATTCTTGGTGCTCATGTGCTCTTTCTTCTAAGGACCTGGCCCTGCTCCACTCCCTTTTGAGCTCTTCCAGCAGCCCCCTTCTCTGTCTTTGGCCTTCAGCCTAGGCCTTGAGCCCTTCCTGCAAATGTGACCTCACTCTATCCTAAACAAATAATTAATCGCCTCTATGGACAACAAGGTCAAGTTCAAAATAGGGATCTGGTAAACAAGATCTTGTGTAACCTGACCCTGTCCTCCCCCTCCATTTGTAGCCACTCCCTCTGGTCCTGCCTTCTGCCCCCAGGTTCCAGAGGTATCACCCTATACACTTTTACATGCCCATTGTGCAAGCATGAAGGGACTGGGTTCAAGTCCCACCAAAAAAAAGAAAGAAAGAAAAAGTCCCCTGAAAACTCTCTGAGGAGCTAAGGGGCTCAGCACACTCCAGGTAAAAGCCGGTGCCTAGGAGCACCCTGGGCCGTTTGTCCTTTCTGTTTCTGGCCTCTATCCCCACGTAGTAGGAAAAGCCCTGAGGAAGAACTAGGGTGGACCAGGTCACAGTACAGATAAGGAACCTGCGGCAGAGCAAGGAACCATGGGTTGTCACATGAAGACTTGGTGACAGCCTGGGAGACAACCCTGCCTCCT